GAGCTAGACCATGCTCAGCTTGATAAGCTTTCGTGAGCTAGCTTGACTCGATGGTTTGTTGAGGTTAGCTCGCGAGCTAGCTTGTTTAGAGGTCGTGTAAGGATAATTACTCTTCTGAACATGCACATTATCTTGGTAATACGGATGTGTAAGGAAGTTAGCTGTTATTTTTAGTTTCCAGTGTTCTTTTTATCATTAAATTCTTACGGTTACACATTTTTCAACAAGAATGATTTCAAATCGAGCTCATCTTGAGCCGAGCTTGTACTTAGCTTAATAAGCTATGTTAATGAGCATTTATCAACCTCTACCGAGTCGAACTCGAGCTAGATAATTTTTATTCAAGCCGAGCACGAGTTAGATCATCCAAATTCGAATTCGAACGAAACTCAAACTAAAAGGTTTATAGACGAGCCGAACTCAAACTAAACAAAAACTCGACTCGACTCATAACCTAGTCATCTACTCATCCACCTAACCCCACAGTTGTATGGACGAAGGATCGATAAGGAAAGTTAGGCAAGTGGGATCAGAGAATCACTTACCATTTCGAAGCACGTTTCTTTCCCCCAAGTCGTCATATTTTTTGCTGCAGATCTTGCCTTTCGATTTTGGCATGTGGGTATTGCTGTAGTTTTAGCCACGGGGGGAAATTTCCTGAATCAAAGACGCCACAACAAGGGTTGTATACTTACCACACAATTGGCATTATTATCATCGTTATTATGTCACTGCCAAATTTGCGTCAAAAGTGAACTCCCCACTTGCTCAACACACAAACGTACGAGTCCATTCTCATCCACGCATGGCTGACTACAACAGTACAACACACTACTACAAGCAAGTGGCAACTTGTCTCGTTGCCCCAAATCCTATAAACAAAAGGAAAAAGATATGCCTAGTGATAGCTCTTTCTAAGCTACTCTAATCAAAAAGTAATGTTTGATTATTAGCGTGGGAGGTTTCAATGACTTGAATGTCAAATACGAATTACCTCGAAATTCTTGATTATGGGTTAATTAGGGGTGGCTATACGGTCCGGTCCGGTTAAATTGACCCAAATTGATCTGGTCCAGTCCAGTATTTTTGAAAATATAAGGACCGAAGATTGGATTGGATACAGTCCGGTGACCGGACTGTATCCAATCCAATCTTCGGTCCTTATATTTTCAAAAAATTGATCTGCAGGGTGAATTCCATATGAGAGCCAAGTGCAAAACAAGTCGTGCTTGGTAGCCGTTCTGACAGAGGAAATCGGTTATATGAGGCCAAACTGGTATATGAATTGTATTGGTATGAAATGGTTCAATAACGGTTTAACCACCCGACCATTGGATCATCTGGTACAATATTTGGTATATTTTTCCATTCCTTAAAAAGTATAGTAAAATATTTTATGTAGGAAAATATTTCTCGATGAATGATCTCGATGAGACCGCCTATATACTATTGGTATAAAAAGCAATAGAAAATAGACGGTTAATTGGTCACGATCACAAATAGTGAAATCACCCGATTTCTGTATGAATGAGAATACGCTCACGACCGAGAGAGAAGAGACTAGATTTTGAAGTGAGAAACACATTGCAATGATGTTCATTCTTGTATTTTAATTTTTTAAATGGTTTGATCTTTCTAAGGGTGATATTAAGTTGGTTGCTAAAAATTTTAACAAATTGCGGAATTGAAGAAAATTTCTTAAAAAATATCATATGGTCTAGGCCTCCTCATAATGTTGCTATCTGCATTTGGTGAGGTCTAGAGAGAGGACAAGAGGAAGAACGCATTGGAGAGTCCAAAATTTTTATCGGTGTAATAAAATTAATTTGAATTTTCATCTAATTTACGTATTGGAGAGTTCATTTTCATAATTCAATTTGTTATAGGCTTTCTGTACTATAGATCATCTATTCTAATTAATTAGGCGCTTCTATTGTAATGTGCAAACAATTGATCCTTTTCACTTCTATCCTCATTCTTTGAAGTTCAACTAAAAACTCGTGAAATGGTGTCTTTTAAAGGGAAATGAATCCAATGCCTTAGAAAACTTGAATTAACAACTTATTAAACAAAGCATAGAAATAGTAAGGGAAAGTAAACAAGGAAGGATTTTCCTATGATAACTTGAGTTAAACTTCAACTAAACAGTTAGTTGGAATACTCAATCTAATAAATCGGGATCTTCGATGAATAAAAGGGGTGAAGTCGAGTTTAAATGTTAGAAAATGATGGATCAAATACCTTCACAATCACACTCAAAAGATAGGTCATTTGATGCTTCGATGACCTTAAACAACCATACTCAAATACGGCTATGACTTTTTGCGAATGTTGCAAGCAACATCAATGAAAACTAATCAGTTTAGGTAGCGACGAGGTCGATCATTATAAGTCACACAAAAGACAACATATTTTTCACTAGATCGATCGACCACATCAGTGGAATAATCGATAAATTTGTCCCTCGAACACCAACTAGTTCTGGAATTCAATCCACCTCAGAAAAGGCAAAAAAGAAGAGAAGTTAGAAGAATCATATAGATTGCCGTCAATTGCATATTATATTTCTTCCCCTTTTTATTGTGGCTCCAAATTACCTATCGTAATAGGATGATTAGTATAATCAAGGAAGATAATACTAGTTTTAATCATGAACCATCCCCAAACATGAGCATGTCCTTAGTTTAATCACGAGCACAATTGTGTTGGATTTTTTGTAAGTGGTTGACCGACTTTCAATTTAATAAACATACCATCCAATCACATCAATGGAATGTTAAAACTAAAATGAATTGTTTGTTTGTGTATAAAAAAACTTGATGATGGTGGCCCTGACGCAAATCACTTAACCTTCTAATTGGATGTTAGCGGAATTACTACACTACCCCTCTTATTCTTCAACCAATTAATTTGGTTGAGTTAATTTTTTGGTAAATAATTCTTCACTATTTTTTTGACAATGGGATGCTAAAAAGATGTCCCTAATTCTTATATTAAATAAGTTTAGGTAATGCTCGTAATGCGTACAAAAACTAATATTATAAGTTTGGATCTAAAATATTAAATGTGTGAGTATCCAGACTCAAAGTGTGATCTTTGCTAGCAACTAACCGACGACCGTATTACATTCATGAAATGTTTGTAATACCTTAACTTCCCAGTTCTGATGGATGAGGTTCTTGAATTGCTTTGAAAGACCATAGTACCTTTGTTTTTGAGGTTTTTCCTTCCTCGAAATTGTCAATGTCGTGATCGAACCAAGATGAAGCAGAACACTTTAGAAACTTGGGCATATATAAAACAAATGAAGCATTAGTGGGTGTCACTATGATAATGAACTTGATAGAGAATCACATATAACTGTTTAATCCTTGTTATATAGTCTTTGATTAAACCCGCGTAATTTTTTATGCTTGATTTCTTATTTTAACAATATTTTTTTGCTCTTCCAATATTTTTTTTATCTTATTGTATTGTCTTTCCACTACGTTGTGGCATATGAAATCACCTGTAAATTAGATTACTGAAAATTATACCTCAAAATCTTACTCATTTCTGTATAACTAGAATGTATTACATTCAAACGAATTATGATGTATTTTTATTGAGTTTCGATCATTTATCAACCATATTGCCAGTCTGACACCCTTTTCTAAAGAGAAAGGTGGCTAATTTTAATTTAGTTCCAGAGTTTCAATGTCATCACTAATACACTATGTTGGCTAGAATTGCAAATAGAGGGGTAAATGTCATTTTCAATGCATTTACCCTCATTTGGTTAATTTGGAATAGTGGTAAGGGAGCAAGTGAGGGGTAAGTTCACTATTCCCCTTAATCCTCCAATTTGGGGTGCAAGAAGGGAGAAGTCAGAATAGTGAGTGGTTAAAATTAATGTTAAAACTATTATAATGTGTATTATTATATCTAAATAATTATATTTTGAATAGATATATAAATAGTAATTGTTATTATTAAAATATTAAGAAAGGCTATAATTACTATTGATTATTGAATCATAAATCATAATTTTTATTATTATAGTTCTTATTAATATAAAGTTTGTCCATGAATCACACGTTTGTCAAATTGACTCCAATTGTTGAATGTGTTTAACGAAGTTTAACTCATATTTGCGGTAAAAAGTATAGAGGAGAAGTCAAGTAGAATGAGAAAATGTTTCGTTGAAAAGTATGCAGAAGAAGTGTCTTGTAAATACTCAAGAGACACCACGGTTCTTATGAGTTTGGTTTGGTCTGGACAAGACCGAACTGTTGCATTTCTACCTAGTTTGGGTTTACCATACTTGAGAACAAATTTGTCAAGGTTCGTTTTGTCAAATCGAGATCAACATGTCGATAAACAACGCTCTAGCGGGAGGCATGAGCTAGCTATATATCTTGGCAATAGGTTGTGCTTCGAGCTTTGAGATTGCTTGATCAATGATTAATTACTATTTAACCATTATTGTCTTAATAATTACTTTTATTAAATCATATTTGTTTATATTTAGGATTATTATATGAATATTTTATTCTATTATTTTGTGATAATGTTTTAAAATTTGAAAACATATATTTTATAATAATATAATTCATTTATTTTTCATCATATTCACATCCACTACTATATTTGCAACCCCTACTTTTTTTTATCCAAACAACAATTTACCCCTCCACTTACATCCCACCAATTTTCACCCTCCACAATTTACCTACAACTTACACCACTCTCGAATTTGCCAAACATAGCGTTAATAAAAAAATTTATCATTCCCACAGACGCTCTAAAGCTATAAACATTACGTACTCTTCCGTTCTCCAACAATGAAAAACTGCGAAAAGAACAGAGTCATAAACCAAAATACCCCGAAAAGAGCCAAAACCAAAAGGCAATGGAGCAGCAGCAAACCCAGCAACTTGAAATAATCTCTGCAGGAAACTCATTCACCATTTTGCCTCCATCAGCCCAAATCGAGTTCCTTCCACCCAGAGGCGGATAAATAAGTTTACACCAAGAACCCAACAAAGAAGAGAACTTTCCTCTGTTTCCTCATCTCCAGGTCTGTAAAATTGATTCTCCTCTTCCTCTGCTTTCCCCTGCCACGAATTAAAAACCTGCCTTTGTATCTAATGAATCGGCTACATGGATTCATTCTTTTTTTTTTTTCTTTTTTTCTTTGGGCAAATGATCCGATCCCCCGTCGTCACTTTCAGAAATTGGCGACGTGAGTCGCTTAGCTGTCTAGTTTTTTGGAACTGGAAACCGGAGAAATATGCTCTGTTTCAAAAACTTCCAGCAACAGAGGAGAAGAAAAACAGAGGACAAAAAACAGAGTCCCTTTCTTCTTTTGATCGATTTACCCTTTTGTGTCTATAAAGCTAATGCCTTTCCTTTTCTCTGTTGGGAAATTCATCACAGGATAGTAATCAAAGAAGAAGAAGAAGAAGAAAAGATGGTTCTGTTCCCATCTTTCTTCAACGGCTTGGCGAGAACGATGTCCTCATCGTCCTCGTCGTTGAAGAAAACGAAGAGAAGCTGCGGAGGAGCTGACTAAGGATGCTAAACGCAATGAGCTGATTCTGAGCTCCTCTGGGATTGTGAAGTCAACCAAGTCCAACAATTTCGCTTCCGTCTGCTCTAGGAGAGGCCAGAAGGGCGTCAATCAGGATTGCCTCGTCGTTTGGGAGGTACGTATTGTTAGTAAACGTTATATGATTCATAACTGAACTTCTTCCAATAATTAGAGGACCAAATGTTCGTCGTCACATGATATTAAAGCCTCATATTCGATCACCTTATATGTTCTGTTAAGCACATGGTGTCCGATCACGAAGTTTGGCACAAAATTTTAACCAAACTCTCGTACAAATTGGGATGCAGGAATTCGGGTGCCAGGAAGACATGACGTTCTGCGGGGTGTTTGATGGTCACGGGCCATGGGGCCATGTGGTGGCCAAAAAGGTTCGAGAATCAGTCCCGCCATCTCTGCTCTGCAACTGGCAGAAGACTCTGCAATCCTCTCTCGACGTGGAGATGGAATTGGGAGGTATATTGAATCAAAATGAGGACGACTTGATTCTCCGCCACAGCAACCAGCAGCACCGGTTCGAGATCTGGAAGGAGTCGTATCTCGAGACTTACGCCGCCATTGATCAGCAGCTGAAACAGAGCCACCCCAAGATCGACACTTTCTTCAGCGGCACCACTGCTCTCACCATTGTCAAACAGGTAATAACACAAGAAAAAATGATGGTTGAATTAGTTTTCTTTTTTCTACTCGTTTACGTTTGGTTCGTGACTCTGTTTCGATTGCAGAGGAACCATCTGGTGATCGCCAACGTCGGCGATTCGCGAGCTGTGTTGGCCACAATTTCGGATAATGGCGCCCTGTCAGCTGTGCAACTCACCGTCGATTTCAAGCCCAATTTACCTGGTAAACCCAATTTTCATTTCTCCCTTTTCCCCTCCAAATCCTGTCCTTGTTCAACTCTCTGTGGCTCTAATCGATGGTCTATTGAATTTCCCCCCTTTATCCAGAGGAAGCAGAGCGAATCAAGAGCTGCAGAGGCAGAGTGTTCTGCCTGCAGGACGAGCCAGGGGTGTACAGAGTGTGGAGGCAGAGCGGGAAGACGCCAGGGCTGGCGATATCCAGAGCGTTTGGCGACTACTGCCTCAAGGAATTCGGGCTGATCTCTGTGCCCGATGTGACCCAACTGAGCATTACGAGCAGAGATCAGTTCGTGATCCTGGCGAGCGACGGCGTCTGGGATGTGGTGTCGAACCAGGAAGCAGTGCGGATCGTTGCTGCTGCGGCGGCGGCGGCGGCGGGAGATGGTGGTGGAAGGGAGAAATGTGCGAGGAGGCTGGTGGAATACGCGTCTCGAGCGTGGAAGCGGAAGCGAGGCGGGGTGGCCATGGATGATATGTCGGCGATCTGTCTCTTCTTTCATGAGGTTGAGCCGTCGCCGGGAGGAGATGGCGCGGAGAGTGAGAAGAAGAAGTGTTTGGATTAGGGTGACGGACGGACCATTTTGGGAGATGATCGGATGGGGTAAAAATGTACAGGGGAGTGGGTAAAAGAGCAAAGGTGATATCTTTTTATGATGGTTAAGGTTGGTTGAAGGTGTTAACATTCGTGGTATTTGTAATGGTTTGATAATGTTCGTTAGTGAATCTTGTTGTATGGGAAAAGCACAGATATATTTTGTTGGACGATTGATTGATTCAAAATACTTATGAAATTATATAGGAGTGTATGTTGAGAAACCGGGCAGCAACCACAAGCAAGAATAGAATGCACAAGACACACGATTTTTACGTGGAAAACCCAAATCGGGAAAAACCACGGGACCTTTGTCCAAGCCACAACTCCACTAGACTTTGGTGGGATTACAAGTTCTCTCTAGACTAGCTAGAGGATTACAAATACCTCAAGAACACCCTTCTTGGATCAACAATCAACTATAATAGCTCTCACCAACATGGTGGATAACAAGAACAAGAGCAAGACAGAGAGGTTGAGAGATACCAAAAAACAGATTCGTACACCTTATGTCCAGGAGCGATTCCGACGAACTAGACCTCAGAATGACGATCCCTCCGGTCAGAATGAAGCCCAGATAATTGCGAACCCACTGTCCAAAATTCAGGACGATCCAACGGTTCAATCTTCCAGAACGCTCACTTGAACAGGCTGCCCTGCTGCAGAAACGAAAAACTCCAGCTCTTTCTCTTCTCTCTTTTTCTTATCTCTTCTCTTTTCTTGATTCTCTCTTTACAAATGAAAGGCTGTCCACTCTTTTCACTTTTTCAGTAGCAATAACTCTCTATTTTGAAAATAGAGGATCTTCTAGAAACCAACCAAAACTCAAACTCAAACCGGTTAATCCAACCACCAAATGAGTTGGACCAACCCAACAGTGTATTTGGGATTCAAACGAGAAGAAGGATGAACGAACAAGGTAACAAACTGCGAACGAGGGCTAGCTCGGTTGGTTGAACATTGCAAGAGTGACGGAGACTTCGTGTGTTCGTTTTCCTTCAGTAGTATCCAGATCCAGGTGTTGGGGGTCCTCACCTTGAGGTGACTCGTTGGGTAATTGGGTTGTAGACTTGTAGCGTACAAAATGCAGTTATAGTCCTAGTGGTAGAGTTGTAGTACGCAAAATGTGGACGTACTCTCCTTTCAATTAAGGGTGACCGGGGATGCATGGACAGCTCCCACACCATTCTCTTGCTCCTAATACTGATTTCTTGCGACGTCACCGAAGTGGTAGTCGCGGATAAGGATTCTCCGTTGTAAAAAAAAAAAAAACAAGGTAACAACTAACAACTAGGGATGGTGATAAGGACATCAATGAGCCAGTTACACGTGCTAAGGCAAGGACATTGAAGGAGAAGCTGGCGACATATTTGGAGAGCTACTTTGCAACCATGGACGTGGAGCTATTTCGAGGGAAGCCATATGTGATGATTTGAGTGGAGGAAGAAGGAGGAAGTGTTGAAGAGAAGGCAGATTGCAAGAAGGAGCCTTAACGGGTCCAACCTTAATGGGTTTACTTAACGGGTCCAAGCTTAACGGTTTGGGCTTAACGGGTTTGCTGGGCTGTTTTCGGATTTCCATGTTTTAAAGTCGGTTTGTGATTGTTTTTCCATGTTGGAGTCGGATTTGGGTTGTACTTTGCCTATTTAAAGGGATGAACACGTTGGTTTGCCCTTAGACGATTATTATTGAATTTCAGAGGCTATTGCCGAGTGGTTTGAGAAGTTTGGCAATATTACTCTGTTGAGAATCTACAGAGTGCTAGAGCGACTCTTATCAACTAGGTATTCACCCTAATTGTGGCGAGCTACCCATATCGATTTCCCTTTATTCCAAGTTGAATCTCTCCGATCGATTCATATATCGATTGCCCTTATTCACAGGTGAGTACTGTCAGATCGATTTCCATCCTATCCGGTTCTGCTTGATTTGAGAAGCTTGACCCTGCGCTACTTTGATTGTATCAAGTGGTTTGAGAAGTTTGGCAACATAACTCTATCCATGGATACCCTACCCGACCCAACCCGGTCAAATCGGATAAAACCCGCATTGACGGGTTATGGGCCTGGTTAGGATTTAAACCCGTTCTAGTATTTTGCGGGTTGGATTGGGTTCGGGTTTAGCTATATCCAATCTGTTCCAACCCACACTCGTACCAACCCAACTAATTTGTTGTTATCACTAATTGTGTAGAATGAAGTTGATATGATGGAGTGGAGAGTGAAGCTAAGATTAGAATTTTCAAATTCTCAAGGAGGAAGAAGCGTTCTATTAATCGTGTTTTGCTGATGTTTATCTTTAATGTTGAATAATTTGTATGGATAATTTGTGGTTTGCTTGTATGTACTAGATTGATGCTTTTTGTATGGATAATTTGTATGGACAGATGTGTGTTAGACTTTTATTTTTGACAGGAAGTTGTTGTTATGAATTTTACACCATATAAATCATGGGTATCCATGAACCCACGGATACCCAGTGGGTTGGGTTTGAGTTTTCCAAACCCAATAGATTTTACCTTTGGTTTTTTGGTGGATATACCCATGTGTTTGGGTTTGGCAAAACCCAACCCAAAGGCCCATTGTCATCTCTATTCATAGCGAATCACACCGGAACAAACCAATGTTTGGATCGGACCTCACCGAATTAAGTATAATATGGTACGGTCTGTTGTCCCATAAATTTTATGAATACTGAAGAAAAATGGACCAAATTGACATTTGCACCGGACCAAAACGAACCAAATACACTACCAAATCGGTTCTTGGTCCTAAGATATCTTTCATATTGGACCGCGATTCTACTGAAATTAGTTCGATTCAATCCAGACCAAGCCCACCCCTCCTAAGTTCTAACAACTAGGGGTGAACAAACACACCCGCAAACCGACCCACCCGTCCAACCTGACCCAACCCACCCGTATTTATAACTAAATCGAAGGTTTTGGGTTGGGTGAGGGTTTTCTTTTGTACAACCCGCCTCTTTTGGGTTGAGTTTGGATTTGGATTACACAACCCGTAGAACCCGACCCAACCCGTGTTCCAATTATCGGTATGAGTTCGTATCCAAAAAAATATTTATGTCGTATATAGTCATACTTATGAGAAAATTAAGATATTTCGCCATGTTTTTCTCTTAAAGTCTCACTAATCTAATGCATCCTTCGACTTAAAGTTTAGACATATATTTAATATAGCTATGATTCACGTAATTTTTTTTTCTTGTGTACAATTTTAAAAGAATATCATATTATGGATGCGTTCATTTGTAACCTTTTTAGCCTATTTCAACAAATGTCGTGAAAAAAACTAAACATAAGTTGAAGTAAATCAAGTTTTATTAAAATTCAAACAATATTTGTGAATTTTGATACCTTTCACCTCGGTTATTCGTTTTAATTTTAAAATTGTTATAAAATATTTTTATGATGTAGAATAATTACATATTTTGTGTTGGGTTGGGTTTTACTTAAAAATATCGTCAACCCGACCCAACCCAATTAGAAACAAACCGTAGGATTTAGATTTTTTTGGGTGAGTTTGGGTTTAATATTTCCCAAACCATAGTACATGAGTCGGGTGATTAAAATGCCTAAACCCGGACCACCCGACCCATGTACACCCCTTCTAACCAGTGCTGTCAAAGCCGAGCCGGCCGAGCCGAGAAAACCGCCACCCAGCCATAAAACCGGTTCGACTCAGCTATTTAGCCGGAGTGGTTAATCGGGGCGGTCGGCGAGCGGTCGAAGCGGTTAAACGCTCGAAACGCTCGAGCCGCTCGGCCGGCTTTTACCATTTGGGCCGGTTGCTTTAATAAAAAAAAACAAACAAAAATGAAAATGAGAGGGGCTGAATGAAAACCTAACCCTAATTCAATTCATTTCTTCCCCCTTCCTTCGCGCAGCGAGACACGAAGACGGAAGAACGAAGAAGCCTCGCCCTCCGCAGTCGCCGTTGATTTTCTCTTCTTGGCCACTTCTTGATTTTCCGCCACATCAGAACTCGTAACTAGAATGCAGAACTGGTTTTCACCGTGATGTGAATTCGCTTTCTAGATCATTGATTTTGATTAGTCTGATTACTTTTTTAGCAGGAATGGTGCAGTTGCTTCTCTCGAAGCCGAACTCGAGTGGGGATTGTGACGGAGATAATGAATTGGGGGAGAGATGGGTCTCTGTCTTGAACCAGTTAGGTCCTGTTCTTTGGTCATTGATGACAGCTTCAGGTCGATCAGAAGCTCGTTTATGGCTATGCAACACCATTGGAGGCATTGAATCCATAACTCCCAGCCAGAAACGAGACATCTTCGTGAAGCTACTGAGAAACAAGCCTACACAGGTAGGGATAGCAACTCAGCTAGCTACTGCAGATGATATTCACAAAGAGGGCTCACAGTCACAGAGCAGGCGGTATTGTATCGAAAAGGAGTCATGTGCTTGAGAGATTCTTCCAAGGCAAGTTAAGTCACTTTCCTTTGTTGTAGTTTGTACTCCCTCTCCTGATATGCTTGTTGCCTTAACAATTATGTTACTTTTGCAGGAAACTCTATTCGAATATCTGAGTGGTTTTCCAACTTTGCTAATGGAGCTGGATTAGAGCACAAAAAGGGCGCCAAGGCGTTGTTTCAGTTTGCATTTGTGAACCGCGACATCTGTTGGGAGGAGCTTGAGTGGAGAGGGAAGCATGGACAATCGCCTGCTGTAGTAGCAACGAAGCCACATTACCTTCTCGATCTAGATGTACATCAAACAGTAGAGAATTTCATCAAACACGTCCCTGAATTCTGGTCATCCACTGAATTCCAAGAGTCACTCAAAGATGGCGAGATTATAGAAATCGATCGGAAGTACTTTCTTGACTTCTTTGTCAGATTGATGTTCAAGGATGATTCAAAAGAGGTGTGGGATCTTGTAAATGAGTTTCTCATGGAGGAGCCTTTCTCTTCTCTTCTCTGTGTCACCATCTCCTTATAGTTCTAGAAGAGAAGGAATTCTCTTCTTTCCTTGAGTTGCTTCGTAGGAATCTAAAACCCAGGTCAGAAGAAGGTGGGGTTCTTTCTTGGCTCGAGATAATCCTTTCTGAAAACGGCGGGTCTATTGATCGGGTTCTTTTGGTCAATGGGGTCATAAACCATGGACGCCATCTCTTGAGGCTACTTTGCGACGAGGATTTTGAGGAGCAGAGATCAGAAATTGAGGATATTATTTCAAAGATGTGCAGAATTCTCAGCGATGCTAACACCTTGAGCCCTCTGCTGAGAGAGTGCTTAAAGGAGAAAAAAACAAGGGAAGAAGTGATGTTCTAGAATGGTTTAAGAGAGTAATTTACTTGTGGTTTACCATGATTAAGAAGTATCTACTATTTATACAAATGATTGTTTATTAGGTACCGGTTCTCAAACGGTTTTTAAACGGTCTAATGCCAGCTGGACCACTAATGATCGAGCCGTTCATGTTACTGGGTCATACTTCGGCTCGGCTTTGACAACCTTGCTTCTAACAACTAGTCAACCACACCCACAATACTCGTTTTGTGAAAATTCCTAATTTTGGAGACTTGTTTATTACAACAATATATAGTCCAGATACTAAAATGTGATCCGGATTCCGGCCCCAGAAATATATAGTGAACTATGAATGGTCCAAAAAAAAAAAATCAATTCTCGGTTCATAGTCGGCGGTTTCGTGAGGTCGAAACCCTAGTTTCACTTTCCCGCCTCAGTTGCCGTCAATGGAGACTACTGAAATCGCGCCGACTGCTCAATCAAAGTTACCGAAGGTAGCAACGGGCGATTGGATTAGCTCCCTACCGGACGAACTCCTCTCCCACATTCTCTCTTTCCTCCCAACAAAATACGCCGTCGGCACCTCTTGCCTAAGCCGACGTTGGAAGGATCTGTGGACTGGGCTGTACGAGCTCGATCTCGACAACCGCGACACCGTGTTGGGGAACACAGCCAATCGCGACGAGATTCTTCAGAGGCGAGACTTGGAGTTCCGCCGCTTCGTCGACAGGGTTCTGAGAGAGCACCAGGATCTCAATTCTCTGAGGCGTTTCCGCTTACATTTCGCTGCACCGAACAGCAAGGTGAGCCCCAATTTCTTGATGAGGTTAAGATTGGCGCCCGATGAATCTCAGCTTGAGGAAATGGATGTTAGTTTTGAGGTGAACCATTTTTGCATACCTTGCCTTCCAGACACACTCTACAGTTTGAATCGTCTAGAAATTTTGAAGCTTAACAGCGTTGCGTTAGAGAGCACCACAAAAGGGTCTGTTCTTCTTCCTAGTTTGAACATGCTGCAGCTTTTGAGAGTAGGGATTAAGGACTGTGAGTCATTAAGCAGTCTCATCTCTGGTTGCCCTGTTCTAGAGACTCTACATTTGGAAAATTGCTACTACTCAAACAGGAAGGAGGGTGACGAACTCATTGCTTCCTTACCTTACTTGAAGAACTTGACCGTTATCGACAAGGGCGTCCTTGGTACTCGGTTGTGCTCCTTTATAATAGAGGCACCATGTCTTGAGCAGCTTTATCTTGACCATTTCCCTGAGTTTGAGTTTCAGGACAGTAGTCGTCCTATGCCATGCCTTCATTCAGTGCATATTGACGTTGGTCATTCTGGAATTTCGGAGCGTGGCTTGATTAGGTTCCTCGCACACGTCTCTAATGCAAAGGAAATACACTTATCACCGCAGATTCTGGTAATCAGCATTGTTCCTTAGTTCCTCTATTTTGCCTAATTTGAATGGTTGATAGACTGAGAAGTGAGAACTAATGATTTTTTTTTTGTTCAGAATGTTATGTTAGATTTCCATCGTGATGTTCAGCTGCCTATCTTTCCCAATCTGACACGTTTGACAATTGAAGACCCTGAAAGCAGCTTCGTTCTGCACTCCTTGCTCAACTCGGCCCCCAAATTACAATCTATTGTTATTGACTTGGTGAGTCCCATTTTATCTCAGTTAATTGCAGGCTCCCCCTTCCTTACATACTACCACTATCCATAATCACTATGTGCATGGAGCAGGAGGATGCGTCAATGTCGTGGATAGGGGTGGGATTCAGTCGGTAAACAATTTACCGTTTACCGAATTTACCGGTTTCGGTATACCGAAGTTGGCCAAACTGGTTACCGATTACCGATACCGGTTTGTAACCGGTTTACCGATTACCGAATTACCGGTAAACGGTAACAAACCGGTATTACCGAAATACCGTGAGAAGCGATTTCGGACGATTTTTTCGGTCGGTTTACCGAATATTTACCGAACCGAATCTCTGGAAGTGGGGTGATGTTGTAATATTTTGATTTTTTTGAGTTTTTTTCATCATTTTTGTAATTAATAATTTATTATTAACTCTTATTTACAATATTTTTGAGGCCTATACTTACATTCATGTATGTAATATTTTATATTTGTGAATAATGATGTAATATTTTCATAATAAAGCAACAAAACGCAGCGCAGCACTAGGGAGTAGAGAGGGGGGATTCGGTATCGGTAATACCGATTTACCGTCGGTATTTACCGATACCGTGTCCGGTAAACCGACTCCCCCAACTTCCCGCTCGGCTACCGATACCGCCGGTAAACGGTTCGGTAAAACGGTAAACCGTTTACCGGATTATCGTTTACCACCCCTAGTCGTGGACGAAGTCGAAAAAACTTGCTCGCACCCCTCAGTGTCTGTTGTCAAGCCTCGAGGAAATTAAGGTAAAAAATATCTACGCAGATGAAGATCAGATGAATATGGTGGCATATTTGCTCAAGGCTGGAGCTGTACTGAAGAAGGTGGATGTGCACGTGTATGAGACTGATGATGAGGATGTTAATTACAATGATCTTTCTATGCAATACCGTGCTGAAGACCGAGACCGTCTTGGGTCACTGCTAAAACTACCAAGAGGCTCGAAGACTTGTGAAGCTCATCTTTTTCTTCCCAACGGCGACGAGATTGGTTTATAGCAACAACGAGACTGATGGTGACAGCGACTTTTAGGACATGGATGATGGTGATGACGACGAAATGGGTTGATGAGTTTGCCGAAGATAATCATGACTATGGCACCAGCAGCAGTGAAGATTGCTCGCCGGAAGGGAGAGCCTTGAAGATTAAGTGCGTCTTTTTTAGAAGAATATTGCTTCGCAGGAGCCGAGATCTTTGGATTTTGGGAAGACTTTGTTACTCTATCTTGCCGCGGTTGCTAACTTTCTAGCCATTCTTGCTTTTTGCTCTAAATGGACTAAACGGTATGGAGATATTTGACAATTATGGAGGAGCTACTCGCTCATTCCTATTACAGTTTATGTATTGAATTTCTGCATGGGCCATGGGAACATGTCTTCTTTAACCTATGCTCTGCAACTGGAAAGAGACTCTGTAGGCATCTCTTGACATGTAGATGGAACTAGGGAAGAACAAACTTGAAACTGCATGGGCTCATCCCGATTCTTGTAGTGCTTCAATGAAGTTGGCAAGCAGAGATCATTTGTCAAGTGACGAGTTCTGGGACGTGATACCGAATCATGATGCTGCGAGGATTGTTTCGGCGACTGGTGAGAGCCAGAAATCGAAAGGTTTGTAGTTGGCATTGGTGAATCGCTAGCAGAATGCTCGGCCCTAATGACAACTATTTTTGGGATATAAATTAGTTACTAATGAAATACCATTGATAATTTAATATTCTTAATTTCTATATATATTTAGAAGATTGTTGACTATAACGTTCGAACCAAAGATTATAAAATTGTGTTGGAGGTAGTACCAAAAATTTAGTGGTAGACCAGTTTATGATTTTACCATTTTGTACTGATGAAATTCTACATCGGTTTTGATTCTGGTTGCCAATTTTTTTCTATTAGACTCTTGGTACGATCCTGCTACTCGGAGTTTCTAATTACTACTTCAAGGGACTGGTTATTGTAACAACACCCATTGTGTTGTTATTATAACAACACTAGTCCCCAACCAATAGGAAGCTAGGATTGTGATGACTTTTTATTAAATGAGTTGACTTAGTGTAAAATCAAAGCAGGGGTATAATTGTCATTATGAAAAATCTATTTAAATAAAAAATAAAAAATAAAAATAATTTAAAATAAAAATAAATTTTTTTATTTTCTGCCCAAAAATTTGGTCGTCGGAATTCTGCCACCGGTCGCCGGAAAATGGTCGCCGGTCACCGGAATATGCTTTTTGTCACCGGAATATGTTATTTTGTGGCCGGAATATGCTTACCGGAGTCGGAATATGCTTACCGGCGTCGGAATATGCTTACCGGCGTCGGAATCTAGTCACCGGGGCCGGAATATGCCTATCGGCGTCGGAATCTGCTCACTGACGGTCACCGGAGTTCGGTCAACGGTCGTCGTTGACCGGTCAACGGTCTTCGTTGACCAGTCAACGGTCAACGACCACCGAATGTTATGGTCTGCATTGTGAGATTTTTTTTTTTTGATGGTTAATCAAAATTTGCATTAAGCACTAGGGCTTGCAACAGCAAAAACCCCTCTCAAAGTCAACAAAACTGGCAGCTATGCTTCTCTATACATCGACTCAAAACAAACCCTATCTATACAATATATCAGTATACTCCAAGCTTATCTACTCGCCAGGATCCACTTTGCCTCATCCTCAATGCGACCCGCCAATCTGCTAGGGGGGCAGAACACTCCATCATGTGCACACCTACAGCGTTCACGCCAAATATAGCTCACGCACATGGACCACTTTAGTCGACCCTCACAACATCCACTAGTACTCCCAGCCCACTGTCTGATTGCCCACTGCATATGGTCTTGCCATGTAGAACACTCAGGGAATCTGCAAAATTTAGACAACACCGCAACAAAAACACTTCTGCCATAAGCACATCCTGAGAAAAGATGGTCCCTCGATTCAATCCCACCAGGACATAAACCACAAGAGCTGTCATCAGTTAAGCCCCAGCTCTGCAACTTATCCTTAGTT